CTTGTTTTAATCCTCCTTACAACTGGCTCAACTTACAACAGCCTTGTAAGTTCCTGCGATCACGTGTACGCTGTTGCCTCGCTTTACCCGTCCGCTTCTTATTGTAGCCCATCGAATACGATCCGCTGTGTCCGACTCCCATTGCCTTCTGCTATCCCTGCTTACTTTCGCGCACCGTCTCGGACTAGTATTAACTAGGTATAAAGGTTTACGGGTTTCACGGGTTTGCGCAGAACGAGTAGGTAGCTCAAACCTAAGGATCATTGTGCCTCATGTTTCGCAACACACTAGGGTTCATTTCTCGCTTAATTTCGAGTTTTACCCTCCAATTTTATGTTCTTAAGCGTGCGCCAGCAGCTTTCATCCAGTTGGCATGTTTGACTGCAATGTCGCAGCAGCTATTACTTTGATGGTTTTTTCTAGAGAGCTGTTCTAACGTCTTTAGCGAAGAGTGATAAGGTAAATCGTGTAGGAAAATAGGTAACAAGGTGGGAGCTGGTTGTTCACCCACCAGTGCGTATAACTAATTGTATGCTTAGGAGCCAACTAAACGATAAAATTACGTACGGACGGCCGAGATAAGGCGAAGTGGTGATTAATGTTTACTTGATGTCCACTCAACTAGTGTGACAGAGGAATCTCTGTCTCTGGTTAGCTTTCGTGCCAGTGAAATGGAATCTGGAAATGCGAATGTTTACTTTCAAAATCGGTTGAATTAGAGTAGCTGTTTTTCATGATGCCTGTTCACTAGTGTTTCCAACAGTGACCAGCGCATGTAAACCTAGATAAAGCTAAGTATATGAGGCCAAGACAGGATAAGTGAAGAGCAAATGGCCAGGATGCTTGGGCCTATGACTTGTATAGTGGTCAATTTATCGCCCCACTGGAATACATATATATTATTTAGCGGTATACATACCGATTATAGTTGGAAAATGTGGAGTAAAGTAGCGAGTAAACAGACTTAATGAAAACGCGGCAATGAAGCCTAACTTGCTACTGACATATAAGAAAGTTCATAACGTGCATCTAAAGCTGGTATTTGGACGAGGTTGTATACAATTCCAATGCTATCTTAGGTGCATTATGTGTAGCGACAGGAACAATAGTCATTAACTTCTTATCCAAGGCTTAGGTCGGGTAGAATGTCTTTATCAGGCGCAACCCAAGGGTCATAAGCCTACTATTTTTTGCGGCCCAGTTGTCTAGGAATTTTGGAAATGATACATGGTAAAGTTGAAGACTAAAGAATGCAGGTGTAGGTAAGAAGGGTAGACTGAATTTTGCCCGCTCGCATGGACTTCTTATTGCCCCGCGATTTCCTATATGAGAAATACATACAGATTTGCGAACTAGCCAGACAGTAGGCAAGGCCGTACTATTTGTTGAGCTTTATAAGTCGCGCAAAAGTGGCCATGGTAGAAGGGAAGTAGAGAGGGGTTGATACTGGTTGGTCCTTGCAGCCTTCGGAACAAAGTGTCATTGAAGGAACCGAAGCGAGTTAGGAACTAAGCAATAGTGGCTAAATATACGTTGTATTCAAAATTCTAGTCTCATCGTTTGTAAGGGGCGTGCTACTGCCCCGGCTAAGGACTCCTGGGTGTTGTGGTTGCGGTACTAGATTAGATGAAAAAAGGGTGGCCATTGATGGAGACAATTTATGAGGGTTAACCGACCGAGTAGCCCATACTGGATTGCTGACATGATAAGGTTTAAATCATGACCGTCAGACTTAGGCTAAGTTGCATTTTTGGAAGGCTGTGGTACACAACAAGGTGACGTAGGGAGAAGGTTAAAAAGGCAATATTTATCGCGTGAGGTCGCAATGCGCGCGATCGGACTTTCTGCAGCAGAGAATTCCACAGTCTATTGCTCCTAAGGTAGTCGGACCTGAATGAGGCCTTTATAAGCACGGTCGAGAAGTCGGCCAAAATGGATAAGAATGTATTGATGATGCTATAAAGCGGAAGCGGTTAGATAGCGAGAAACAGGTCAAAGTAATATCAGTATGGTGGTTACCACAGAGAGAATGGGGACAAGTAGGAGAGCTTCGAGAATGATCGACTTAGGAGAGATTGGCAGGGTGACGATCGATGCAGGAAAGCATCGGCTCTGGGGAGAGTAGGCTGAGTGAGGCGTCAGTGCTTAACGGTGACCTGTAAGCCTAAGGTGCTTAGATGTCACGCGGCTAAAAGGATTTTAAGGTAATGTTATAGAGCAACACCAGGCGTCATCTCTGCTTCATCTGGGCCGGTTTCAAAAAGATGATCTTGCAAATCACACATGTTGAAAAGACGTTTGATATTATCTTGGCACATGAAGTTTTGTACCTACCTCTTAAAAGCCTGCGAATTATGAATCTCTCGTAGCCGTGGTGGTAACATGTTCCAGGTATTTACGTAAGCAACTAGGAATAAATGTGTACGTAGTTTCTTCCAAGCTGGTAGCGGAGCAATACGGGAGCACCCATTTCAGACATTAAAATCTGCTGCTCTTCTCA